CTCGCCCTCGCCCTCGCCCTCGCCCTCGCCCTCGCCCTCGCCCTCGCCCTCGCCCTCGCCCTCGCCACGTTGCCACCGCAACCGCCTTCTGAATCCCGCCCCAGCCACCGTTCCCGCAATAGCCCTCTCAACGCTGTCGTTGTTCCTCGGTACCTGATTTCCGCACAGCCACTCAACGCAAGAGCCTTCGCCTGCAGGTAGCCCGTAGCTATTCGTCAAGAGGTGGACTTTGGGATTGATCTCCACTCGTGGTTGGGGCACTCGAGTCACGCGGGTGGCATTTCGAGAAGCTCAGAGGCCCTCAAGAGACGGCTGATAGCTCTTCTCCATGGACGTCAATGAGAATAATGTTTCTTCAATGAACGGGCGACAAGACGTCGGATCGGCCTGGAGGATTGCAAGCGTCCAGCCACGTACTGAGTTCCTTGGCCGCACCCACGTCGTTCGTGTGAAAGTGTGGTCGAGGGACAGTGGGAAGAAACGGGCAGAAGACCTTCGTGGCCTCCGGTTTTTAGCGCCACCTTTAGTGTAACTTAAACAGGCACATTGTATAACCAACAGCTGTAGGCCTAAACCATCTCAACCGGTATGAAGAATGCACTCTGCTATAACAATCGCTCTACCTTTCGCAGTTCTCTCCGCTGACTCTCGCTGTCACTCGTTCTTCAGTCCAACACTGTCTACCCTCCAACCCACCTGTCAACCCTCAAACACTCTCACCGGGAGAGATGGCTCAGGGCATCATCTGATGTCACTGCAGTTCCTCTGACCGGAAGGTCCTAGATTCGAGTTCCGACGGTGGCAGGATTTTCGACACTAGCTTGTCAGATACGTCGATTATTTTCGCTGTCTGGAGAAGTCTAGCGGCCGGCTGCTCTTATCGGTAGTTTTCCGTGGTTTGTCCGATACACACCAGGTGAATACCGGAGCAGTATCCTATCAAATGGGCCACGGACCGCGCGCAATCTTTCCTACCTCTTCCTTGTCCTGTCCTCTCCCGTTACATACTCACTTACACTAACACGCACTACACAAGCACACATGCCTTGGAGACTTAGAGAAGGGAATTTCTCTTTCTCAAGCGTCTGGCGACTGAAGTGTGGAATCTCGAGTCCTTATACGCCCTCTCAAGACGACGACTGGGATAAGAACACACTCTTTGCATGCTAAAGCGAAATATCTCGTCTCACTAAGCGAAATGTTTCATAAGAGATTGCCTAACGTCACAGCTTCTCTTCGTAGTAGAATTTCATTCCTTCCCAATTCCTTTCATTCCTTTCATCTTTATTTCTAATATTTAAGAACGGAAAATATGTTTTGTAGACATTTAAATGATAATGCTCTAAGTTTATATTTAGGTTTCGCTTATACCAAATAACAATTAACTGAAATGAAGAAACGAAAATAAAAGTAGAAATAATCGCAAACTGACACATTTTATTAAATTAAATTAAGTTAAATTACATGTACAAGATTATAAAGAAATATTAATGCTGCTTGATTTGTCTTGCTCTTTATTAATGAATATTATGTTTACTACATCTTTTGCAACCAGTTTCTCTGCCTGCTAAAGAGAAAGTTGGGCTTATTGTAAAGCATATTTTAACGAGAAAGAAAAGTTATGATGGAGTAACATTTTATGTACAGTAGTTGGTGTGCAATACTGCTGCACTACCAGTCATTTGTAAGAGAAGATGGACTATGCAATGAGGCAGCGCAACAAGTGATGTTTTAAACTATACTGCAGTGTGTTAAGAGAACCGATATATAGAAAGAGATCCAAGAATCCACAGACGTTCTAAAAATGTTCATGCATTATGATTACGGGTCATATCTTCGTAGAAAACGTCAACTATCTAACTGGGAACTACTTTAGGAATCTTCGGTGCTTTATAAAAAGAGCAAGGTTTATACAAAATTTAAATATATATTAAAAATATGATGAAATAACGCCATCAGCACTACTAAAATGAGTTGAAAAGATAAGATATACATTTATGCATAGGCATGTTTCACCAAGAAACGCTCGTTTTAGTTTCAATTCACAAATTATGTACATGTTTCGTACTATCAATTTATAATATGTGAACTCTACAACCAGTATTCACAATCATTTGTCAACATTCATTCTCGGATCTGTTTTTATAACACTATTTTATCTAGAAGACTAGAAATCTAATATTAATAAGCGAATGTCAGTAGTCAAATTGTCATAACTTTATCAGCGTCTACAAACTCAGTCTTTTAGTCTATTGTTGTTCTCACTGCATTACTTGCACAATAATATCAATTAAGTAAAATGACTTTAAAAAAACGTGCACAATAAAAGTACTTCTTTATTAATGAAAAGGCTCATACGATAAGTTCTCATCTTCGGCCTAACTATTTAATTACATCAGTACAAGATTTAAGTAGGAAGAGGGAATATCAAACTGCACGTTTACATCACATAAACGCTTTAGAATTCCGATAATGTGCTCTAAAATGAAAAAAAAATTGTAAAATAAAATATCCCTAGACATAGATGCTTAGAATTTATTGTCCACCCACTCCAACTCCAACCCTACCTCGTTCTAAATGGCAGTGCTCACTGCGGTAATCATTCTCGCTTTCATATGCCGGGAAGCACGGCGAAAAGAAATAGCACGTACTCGCTCGCGACCGACTCTTGACCCAGATGTCTCGCTTCCAAGATTTCTACCGGAACGGGGACCGCGTGTTTGCGGGGCCGGCTTCGGCGGCGGCGGCGGCGGCGGCGCGCTCCGCTGAATAGCGTTGGCCGGATACCGCCAAGTGGCTCCAGGAGGGGAGAGGCCGGAGAGAGAAAACTCACTTCCTCTTATTGTGTGCACAGCCACTGTTGACGCCTGTGGCGCACAAATAACAGAGGGCAAACAGCGGGGAACAGGCGAGCACCGATCGACAGCGCTTCTCTGCCGGAACACGTGTTTGGGGCTGCCACGTGCACGCGGGAAGCCAATCGGCTACCAAGGGCCAGGCAGCTGCCATTTGCCCTTTTTTTACGCTCTTACTTATACACTCACATACATACCTCTATAATTGATTTTTCATTAGTAATAATAAAAAAATCGTTAAAAAACGTAATTATATTATTACCGTTTAATTTTTAAATACGTTTATTTAGCGAGCACTGTATACGGACAGAATTTCTAGACATTCTTCAAAATATTTATAAATAAGTTAGTGCTCAATAAGAAATGTTCATGAGCAGTTTTGAACTTATGCTAGTTTCATGTTTCGCGAACACTTGGGAAGCTTTGGAGGGCCAAAAGTATCAGTCACGTGTCATTCTAATATTATAGTCAGAATACGGCAATCTATAATTTTAAGTTAGGTTTTAAAGAACATTAGGTTTTAGGAGATTATCGTGGCATGAAAAAGTCGAAAATATCGCTTGATCATAAATGACCGATAAGCACATAATAATAATAATAATAATAATAATAATAATAATAATAATAATAATAATAATAATAATAATCTTAAAATTTCATAGACATTAAATATTACATCGCATCTTACATTCTTTCTTCAGAAATGCAGTTTGTAGTGACGATTCCTTTACTGTTTACATGCAGTTATGTCTACGGACCTAACCTGAATTAACACTCCATGTTTTACCTAGGGAGGTGGCGGTGACCTTTCCCCTTTGAATGTCGTAATCCGGCACCGACCTACTCGACGGCTTGCGGAGGTTTTTTTCCAACCAGGTGTCTCCCGACAGGGCATCACCCCTGGCTGGACAAACTCACGGGACTGGTCTCCTAAAATGTGTGGTAGTGTAGTGCACGTAAGTATGTGTAAATAAGAGGGTGAAGATAGGACATCGAAGAGGAAGTAAATATCGCACAAAGTACAATGCCCGTTTTTTAGGGTACTGCTCCGACATTCGCTGGACGTCGATCGGAGAAACCACGGAAAACTACCGATCAGAGCATCCGGCCGCTAGAACTCACCTACAGACAGTGGCTGAACTCGACCAAGCAACGTACCTAGTCGAAACTCCTGCTACCGTGGGTACTCAAACCGTAGAACTTTCCAATCAGAGGCAACGCAGTGCCATCAACTGACGCTCTGAGACCCCGGCGAATTCCTATGAGAGCACATGTTCGGATGACATGTAAGGAGCGTGTGAAAATCCGTTCAATCTCGTAGTGTCGGGAGAGAGAGAAAAAAAATCGCACGCACCCGTCTAGCGCAGACGCACGTGTCCTTGTACGGCGCACTCTGCAGGAGAACTTTCACTTCGACCTTGAAGGCGCGCAGCAGCCGCGGGCAGAGCGCGGTGGGAAAGTCTCTCACGGTGGACGCGCCATGCATGCAAATGACCAGGAAGGAGCGGCGGCGGGCCTGCAGGCGGCGCGATCTGGATGGCAGCGCCACGCGGAACGCACGGTATGCTCCGAATAATATTTCAGCTGGGGGTGGGGTTGATTCGTACTCGGGCGATAGACATGTGGTCGTGGCAGATGTGCAGCAGTGGCAAGAAACTAATCGTAATGAGAGTTCACAACAATAGACGACAGAATCGCACACACACACGCACACACGCATACACACGCGCGCACGCGCACACACGCGCACACACTCACGCACGCACACGCACCCACTCACGCACGCGCACCAACACACAGGCACACACACGATGCATAACCGAACAAATAAAGGGGCCAAATGACGCTCTTCCATTTTCAGTGGCGTCGTGTTGTAAGATTTAATTGTCTTTCTTAATAAGCATCGGCAACTCTGCCGTGATATCATTACAATTTGAAACCTCTGATTGGATAACGGAACCTCCGCTTCCCTGTCCGTCGCTACTTGTCACGTAGAGAGCAATATTATTGAGACAATAGGAGCATTTCGTCCGATGGATAGTCGCAGCATGACGGCAGAAACGTTGGAACTTAAATACCGACTCCCGCCGCGGAAGCCTACGCTTTCGCACAGAAAGAGACGCAGATCGGCTGAGCTGGCTCGGAGGTAGCACAACTGTTGTGACTGCAGCGACCCCGATCAGAAAGTCCTAAGGTTCGATCCCCTACGTTAGCGGATATTTTACACTAGCGAGGTCGGATTCAGTCTTTGTTTGGATTCAAGCGGGCGGCGATGTCATACTTGTACGAGTAGCTCATTAAAGGCTTGTCTCCAAAATTTCCAATTTTATTCTGGACCTTATATTATCACACGCACGACCTGAACAAATACGTGTGAAATAAGAAACGAATGTGACAAAAGAGGGTTAACACAATTGGCAATCTTTGAAACAATATACAAATTTAAATGCTGTAAAAAGATAGAGGTGTAATTGACGAAAACTGTAATGTTAAGCCTTATTAAGTTGCTAGCCGTTTTGTGACAAAGTGTTCACACTGTGTACAGTCCCCTTTACAACTCACATGATTTTCCAAAACTACAACAATCTCGACTATTTATACTTAAATGCTTCATAACTCGATAAATATGTTCAATTTGTTTGATGTGCCGTCCATTTGTCTTGATGAATTGTAGAAATCCATTATATATTCTTTGTTTTCGTCGCTGAAACGAATCATAGTTGTGAAGTTGATAAGAACAAATAGCGAATTTAACTTTATCTAATTCAACATTAATATTCTTTCGTGAAATTAACTAACAAATAGTGGCAAGTGAGCCAATCTTCACCTCTTTTGCTGAATATTCACAAGGTACTTCCTGTTTATTACTTTTCTTCGATGATTTAAGTTGCGATATGCAGACGGTGTATGCTCAGTAGTCTCGTGGTAAATGTCACACAAGCGGTGTCGAGTTCGGGATTTCCAGTCTTTTCAATACCTGGAATTGAGTAATTAAAAGCGTATCTGTAGTAAATATCACCGGAAATACGGGAGATAAATGGAAACTTAACAATGCCAACGTGTTAAGAGGAAATATCAAATAACTTGTGACAGTAATGTACAAGCAGAGAACTGCCGCGACTAATTGAGGGTTAATTGTTTCTATTGTTTGCAACACCCACTTATGTGTCTTCTTGCGAATTCAGTCAGTTTTTGTACAGCAGAATTGACGGCAAGGTCACTCGTTCAGTTATAGTTATGCTGTTACATAACCGCATGCGAGTACACACACGCACAGTTATCTGAATTTCACGAAGTTCACAAGTTCATGCAAAATTACACTTATATAACTTTCCTGGAGCGCCAGACGTATACTTAACTGTCATTTATCTCAGCTGCAGGGATACACCCAAGTTCTCTCATAATTACACAGTTATATATATTACCCGGGATCAACTACATTCAGTTATCATGGCGCACTTATACAGGTTTCGTCGCACATCACATCAGTGCCATTCTGGAATATTGTTTTCTTATCTTGTCCATCATGGTTCATCTTTGCTCGGATAATTGTTTCAACTAATGAACTTATCAAGGTATTTCAAGCACTGTAACTTCAATTCGAAAGCCACGTGAATAGTGAGAAGCTTGTTCAGACAATTCAGTTAAAGCACGAAATTCGATATGCACGTATCCCCACCTCCCCGATGTTTGAAAGGACCCAGCAAAAATCCTTTAGTTCATTTTCTTTGGCAATGACCGTCAGTATACGAGCACTATGTGAAAAACGTCGTTGGCTTTATTCTTGGCGGCACACTTTTGAAACTCTAGCTAATAGACGTTTATAGCGTTAGCTTTCTCTCCCTCCGTTTCTTCACCATCTCAGTAAATCAACATGGATGGAAGTGTGTGCGTCGGAGATATACTGAATCAAAATGACAAAAAGAAAAAGTTTGAAAGACAGTAATTTTACCAGAATCTGAACAGAATGGCTCTGCCATGTACACCAAATGGGATGCTCCGTTATTTGGATGCAGGAAATGCATGAAGATGGTAGATCTAGACTGCTTTTCACGTTGCAAAGGCACAATGGGTCTAATGGAGAATCGTTGCCGCCGCAAAACGAACGCTTGCCCGCTCGCCCGAGAATCGTCAAAATCACGGCTACCTTTCTCAATACATGAATATAATAGCTTTATTTTATTATTATTATTATTATTATTATTATTATTATTATTATTATTATTATTATTATTATTATCAACAAAACACTATGGCCAACATTTATCCAACTTTAATCTTAGAACATTTTGTTCCTTTTCTCATTTCTAATCTGTCGCATTTCTCTTAGATATAAATATTGACACGTTGTTATTTAATTCCTATCATTCTTTTTCGCATTACAAATTCAAATTCAATTTTTTATAAATAAGCGATAAAATATAGAATACTTACAATTTGGTCAATGACTATCATGAACTTCTTTTATTACACAGACGATTCTTGCAGGAATATTTTAAAATAATTTGAGACGTGCCGTATGTACAAAATCGTCATACTTCATTTCCCTACTTCAGTCCAATTAACTTTATTTTTCTACGGGTCGGTATTTTTCCATTCTCATTGTTCGTTTTGATTCTAAAGAGGGAATAACTGCTTTCGCTTGTTGCTTTGCAAATTACATTCAAACGGTTTACTCCGTTTTTGGACGTTTTCTTTTAAGTTCTCGAATATTTTGATTTTTTACCACTTTAAATTATTTTATCATTCTTCCGTGCGATCCACATTGATCTCTTAAAATTGATCTAAATTACGTATATACTTCTCTTTACCCCTGCACGTTCACCATCATCACTCAAATCCACCAGCAAAAATCGACTGACCAGAATACTCAGCAAGATAAAATTTTCGAAAGGGCTTCTTGTGATAATTCCAGTATTCATTTGGATGGTTCCTTCCGCTGATGACAATCATATAAACAAACACATCCTACAGCCCTACAGGTAAACATCCTGCATCTTTGCCTTGTCTTTATGTCGCGTCTCCAGTGGAACCTTACGCCGCGCGCGTTTCGACCTCAAAACAAACATCAAATGCACACAAGCAATGGATCCAAGCACCTTCGGGAGATGATAGCAAATAATGTCATCATTTTATCCAAAATGTTGACGCTGAACGTTTTTAATTGAACTTCAAAAACGAAAATATCCCAAATAGATTTTTCCCATAATAATTCAACCAATGTTTGTTAGGTTTTAACAGTTTGAATAAGAAAGTGTTAAAAACGTCAATTCTGCATAAATCCAGCGTTTTCATTATTTTATTTAAAAAGCAACTGTATGAGACATTTTTCATTATGAACATCGTGTTCGTCGTAGTTTTCTTTACAATACCATATTTCTTCTTCTTTCTTGTGCATCAAACGATTTGGCAACAGTGCACGAGATTTTTCCGAAACAATAACATAGTCCATAAGAGCCCATTGAGCCTTCACGACATGAAAATGAGTATAGAAGAGGCGGATAGAGCAGTCCGTCGTCTCGGAACGGTCGTGTGATTCGTAATCGTAGTGAAATAATGACAAAGACAATAATATTAATCTGGTTAAAATTATTGGCTATTCTCCCAGGTAATTCAAAGACTGGTTCAAGAAATTATTTGGAGCAGCCCACATTTTTCGAAAAGTATTGTAGATGCCCCGATGGTCCGTAAATCTGCTCCTTAGGAAGCTGGTTTCAACCCGGAGTTTATAATCATCTACTCATAACATCCTTAGACGTGAGTTAGAAAATAACAATAATAACAATAATAACAATAATAACAACAATAATAATCATAATCATAATAATAATAATTATAATTATAATAGTAGTAACTGCTGAACAAAACCACACAAAATGATTCTTTTCAAAAAGTAGCACGCACACTGCTCAAGAATAACAAATAAAATAATCTGGTATATCATTGCAATATATGAAATATATAAACAGAAACGTTAACATTAACAAAGAAGACTATTGAAGTCACTGGAATCTCCATCACGGCTGCTAACGACAGGACAGAATTGCAGTTTACAGGGTTGAAACACTGACTTGCAGCAAACTTTGATGGCCACTTTTCATGGCTATGCTTAAAGAATTAACACTCCTATATTTCACAATATAAGTGGCTTAACATAAATGACATGACTCATACTTAAATAGAGCTCGATGGCAATGAAAATGCAAAAGGATATAGATAAAAATATCTTAAAAATGATGGGGAGAGTAAAACTCGTTATTAGAGCTGCCTTTAATATAATTTGTATGTTGCAGAATTATAGGAATTCCAATGGATTGCTTCAGGTTGTAGAAAGCTAGGGAACCTATCGCAAACTTCATGTTCAGAAAAAAGAAAACTAAATAAGTGTAATGTCCTCACCCGTGGATACAATAAAAAGTTCAAACTGAAGGTAAAACCTTAAAAATAGAAAGTCAAAAAAATAGAGTGTATATAATTTAAGGTGTTGCGTAGTGACAGTGTATCGAATCCCTCAACTGGATGATTGATTAATTGATGTTTTCAGGTACATCAACCGCAATGGTCATTATTCCTCTTAATGTACTGAATGTTTTCATCTCTGGAAGTGGCGGTGAGTGGCTGGTGAGATACGGCTGGGACCCAGTTCGATGGCGTCATCCGGCGCCAACCTGTACGTCGCCTTGCAGAAGATCCCTCTCCAGATACCTGCCCCAAACGCGTCTCCGCCTCAGTGAGAACAAGCTCTAAGCGACTAGTCGAGACAATACAAGCTGATGACTTCTTGGCTGTTCGGATGAAGTCGCGTCGGCTGAAAGGCCAATGTTTCGTCTGTCATGTCGCAGGCTTCCTCAGGGTAGTGACCAAGTGAGGAAGCCTGCGACATGATAGGCGAAACTTGGCGTCACCCGGACAGCCAAGAAGTCATGAACTCGAGCCGCGGAAGCTTACGTGTACAATACAAGCTGATGTCTTAGGTTTCCTCGGCCACAGTCATGATCTAGGCTGTCCAGAATGACGGTTATGACGGTTGAAACGTCAGCACGTCCGCTTTCGACGCAGCGTCATCCGGACAGTCCAGATCACAATACAAGCTCCCGACATGTGTGGTAGTGCAGTGCATGAAAGTGTAAGTATGTCTGTGGGAAACGAGAGGATTGACAAACGTAAGGAAAGAAATATCGCGCGAGGTTCGTGTCCCGTTTGTTAGGGTCTATTCCTGCATTCGCTTGGTATTAATCGGAGACACCACGTAAAATACAAAGCAAAGCATCCGACCGCTTTAATTGTTCCAGACAGCTAGGTCGAGTTCAGTCGCTGTCTGGAGGAGAATCCTAGCGGCTGACTACTCCGATCGGTAGTTTCCCGTTATTTCCCCTATCAATACCAGACGCAAGCCGGTATCAACCGGCCCTCGTACTGCACGCGAGCTTTGCTTCCTCTTCCTAGTCCTATCCTCACCCCTTACTTACACTCGCACTATGCTACCGCACTTGTCACCGCTAGGCCAATCGGGAGCTTGGAGTTTGCCCTGACTGGGGCAGTGCCTGGGGAGACACATGGTTGGGGAAAATCCTCGTAAGACGTAGGTTGACACTGGATCTCGCGAGGAAGATCACTTCCCGAGCAAAAACATGCACTGCACATATGGGACCAATGAGGTAAGCGGATTACGTGCCCGCATTCACTCATCAATCGATCAATTAATCGATCACTAAGCGCGTACTCACCAGGGTCTGCAGTACGTCGTCGGGCACGTTGCGCGAGGAGTTGCAGAGCGCGAAGGCCGACGAGTGCGAGAAGATTACGGGCGCCTTGCTCACTTGCAGGGCGTCCTTCATGGTGAGCACGGAGGCGTGCGACAGGTCCACCATCATGCCCAGGCGGTTCATCTCGCCCACCACCGCCTGCGAACCACGAGGCACAAAGCGTCAGCGTGGGCGCAAATGCTAACTCAGTGAAGCCGACGCACATGTTAGAGATTTTCATATTCTTTCAAAAATTCCTTTCCGATTTCAATAACTTTTTAGTACTTATTTTATTTATGTAAAGTGGCTTTACAAATATTTGAGGTCATTAGCGATCAACATTATTTGATGGAGATGTAACAACATTTTTTAATACTTACTGCCGAACATATGGTACAATATTTAATTAAAATAATTTGTTCAAAGCAAAAAAATGAGAATTTGAAACATTGCCAATAAGTTCTATAATTTTTTCAAATCCTTGTATCAAATTTACCGTAGAATAATTAACCGCAAACAATTTTAGTTGAATAGAAAAATCAAAACTTTGATCACATTCTATCGATTGTTTTGTCCAATCGATCATTTCTTTTTTATATTTTAACACTGATTTAAAACCTTCAATTGAATGAAGCATTTCATAGATATCTTGTGTAGCTGTTTCTTAGGGAACCACCTGAAAAATCGTTCTGGACAAATATAGATTTTTGGCGTGTATTCATAACGCCATATGAATTTACACTTAACGCCACACACTTAATCCCGCCGGTATTGGACGTTCGTGCTTTCTACCGTAATTAGAGATTATGAAAAACAGTAAACGTTCGTGAGCGTTCTTTCCAGAACTCGCCAACAAAGTTATAGTATATTTTCATTTGTAGATTTTAAGATTATTTCGTCGCGAAGTGATTCTCTGTGGTCAAGCCAGATACTGCAGATCGAGCAAATTATCTGACTGCTCTGAAGATGAAGATTACCAGGACAAACACCACATTAGAAAACACGGTAAAAAGCTGACAAATAAATAAAATGCAACAGTTTAAGATTGAATGTTAGTAAGAGGCGTTAGATTTTCCCCTGAAATTAGAAAGAAATGCCAGATGGACACGCATTATATGAAAAAGATATTGTGCCACAACAACAAATATTAATGTGAGAAAAAGTATATCTAAATATTAAGTAATACTGTGTGTAATAAGAAATGTAATAAGTGAAATAATAGCAAAAAAAACAACAAATATATTTTTAAGTAGTGTATTAAGACATCTGATTTAATTATGAAATTTATACTGCCGGTGAACCTTTTAGCAGACAGAGAATTTAAGATTGTTGAGTTTTATAATTACAATTGTAATATTGTTGTTCTTCAGGTATATCAATGTGGTGTGCTTACCAAAGTAAAGTATATTTGGCCCACGCTATAACTAATAAATTATGAAATGAAAATTACATGACATAGTGTTTTAGAGCAATGGGCAAGAAATTTCCAATATCAAAATCTGAAACCTTCACATAGTTCAGGAAATAAGATAATTGACTCAAAGAGTCTAGAACGTGTCTTGGCCTGTTGGAAATAGCTGGGTAGTCAGTCATGTTTATATGTATTCAATATGTAACAATAGCAAACTGGGTTTTCAGGTAGATAAATAGCAGAACATTGTTTTTCATTACATCAATTTTTTATAAAAAATATATTTATATTTTAGTTAATCTAAAATTATAACAAACTGTGTAGTAACATTGAATTTTCTCCATTCTTTAACACTAATGAGGGAACAATACAGTTTCGAAATGTCAGCAAACTAATAGAAATTGTTTTTTTTTTACTCCACGCACATTACCATTACACATTAATCCAAGTATGCTCGTGAATTAAAGAAGAATCACAATAAATATTGTAAATTGTATTCTGCGCAATGAGAACGTGATGAATGAAATTAAAACTATTAAATTTTTTAACACTTTTAGTTTCTTCGTGTTGTTATTGTTTATTGTTAATTATTGTTTAATCGTAATAATAAAAACATTATTTCATTAACACTGATTTACTAAAACTATGGTAAAAATTAATCCTCAAACCACCTGTAAGCGCGTACCTCCGGTGAACCACGCTAACGGCTAAACCGTTCAGCTGCTTGTCTCTAAAATTTATATTCCCCAATCGATGTGGTTGATGTAGCGGCCTCTTAAATTTGAAACTGGTGTTTTAATTTTGGGGAGAACATTACATGAAGCCCTGAGTCATTTCCCAAATGAAGAAAATGGGTTCCGCCGCTTTCTATTAAATGTTGTTACTGGATAATGGGAAGGACGTTTATCAGAATAGTGCAGGTCCCATTTCCGTTGAAAACTCGGATTTTTCGAAAATTACAAAAAATCAAAATTTTTTTGGCATTTTCCTACAACTATAATTATGAAGATGGATATTTTCCCCTTAATATAATATGTTCTTTAAGGAAATGTTTTGAAATACAATTCTTCGAAGTTGGAGTAGTTTTCGCGTTTTTTGCGTGAAAGTATGTGCTGTTTTAGCACCACTCGTTTCCATTAAACATGCGTAAAAATTCCCTCCTTTAGGCGGCCCCCTGATATCGCAGCAAGCGACCAGACTCATTTCGTACATTGCACTCAATTAACCGGTCCCCTCCAGTGCTGAGTAGAGTAGTAGAGTAAGAAGCGGAAGATTGATGTATTTTCTTGCTCCGGGATGCATTGCCAAATTACTTAGAAAAAAGGCATCTTCAGTCACTTATCTGCCAGGAGGATTAATTTGTTTTACGTAACCAAGATGAAACCCGAGATTATTTTAATTAGTTTACGAAATAACAACGCGTTTGCATCGCGCAATCCGAAACATTCTCGTGAGGTTTGCTAACCCTTCTTTCACCTCCGTGAGAATTTTAAACCGACGTGAAAATCACTTTCGAACTCCTTCGTTGGACTGCTCTGCTCATTGCATTTTCAAATTTGGGATAACATTGGTTATTAGTTTTTTTCTATCGAAGTCTATCTAAGAATCCACGAAACAAGTTTTTCTATCAAAAAAGCGCCTTTTTTCGCTGCAGCTTTACGCTACTTTCTCTTTATTACGTAAGTAGTATACGAGAAAGTAAAAGTGACTGCCAATTTTGAAAATTTTTATAATGTACTAATTTTGTTAACATAACTGTAAAAAATTAAAAACTTCCGAGTCAAATTTGAAGTGTTTGATTTTCGGTCATATCAATCAGGGAATATTCATTTTGGTAAAATCCTGAGAACTTTTTAGGTCCTAGCGTTGTTGCCAAATATACAGGCTGGCACATGTTTTGAGAAAACAACTTTCAAGGTATCATGTGAGATGACACTTGTATCGATTCTGTACATAAATGTAGCTTCACTATTTGCGCTCGTTTTCTGGTGCTCAGTTGTGAATATAAGTATTTCAGTAATCGTATATTCTCGCGTCAATAAATCGATTTGTTCACGGAGAGCAGAGCGAGACATAAAATCAGATTTGCCTCCGCATATTACATGGAAGCGAATATTTTCTTATGAATTCTTGACAAAAATGCTCGTGATCACCTGTATTCATAATTGACCTTGTGTGTTAGGATAGGGATCCGAGAACGTCACACGCAGTTACTGGGCGTTTTTGACGTTCTAATATTCCTGTAATAGGGAAAGTACCTCTCTTTTTGGGTAAATGACCGCCATCTCAATCAGGATTTTGGCCCAGTTTCTCTGATTCATTCAGCGAATGCTTGGATGGTTCTTTGTTTTGCTTCTGGACGTAAATGTAACTTCACTATGGGAAAGTTTTGTTGAGCTCACCTTTTGCTAGTTGTAGTAGAACCGGGGATGTGGTTTGCTATTTTGCTAGACATTCTGTATAATAAAATGTGTTGTGCTTTTACAGATGCTAGTAATTTTTCTGTAACTCGGAACCGAAAATGTCTAGGTTTCAAATATTGCTACCTCCCTTTGTTGGTATTTCTAATTGGTAATTCAAGCATGTGTATTAAAGGGGAGGAAAAGTGATTCTGGAGCTTAAGAAAACGTGCGAAGATCATATTTCTCCTATACGTAATGTACACTCAATCATTTTTTTTTTTACTTTTTGACGAAAATAAATAAAATCAAATTAAAAATCACATCCAGGCGCTCCAAGGGACATTCACGGGACGTGCCTCCTCGACAGATCGTTAGACCTGTACCAGAGGGAGACTTCAGTGGAAGCTAAGATCGAAAATACGGGTGCGGGATTGCGGCCAACGCCCGTTTCCCCGTTATCACTCATTCACGATAAATGAAAAATCCAACCGCAGAGGGGATAAATTGCATAGGGTGTAAGGTGGGAAACTAATTGTCCTGATTGACAAGTAGCCTCACTTTCCCCTACGCGTCGAGCATTTACGAGGGCACTTAAGATCTTACGGTAAACCTGCATGTGCAGTCCAACACAATTTCTCTACAGGTCCCGAAGCTCTTCTCGTGCACTTCGTTTTCAGGTTTTGAGAGGTGACTCTCCGGTTGATATGGCAGGCGCATGCACACGGGTTCGATTTCTCGTTGCGGCATAGTAATCGCCTGATTATTGAACGATTACGTTCAGTATGCGATTATTATTAAATACAATTGAAAGTTGTATAGAAAGTCGATTTTAGTCGATTTTAGCCCTATTCTCTTTCTACTATACGTATAGTATATGCCCTCGACGATTAGTAACGGAAGAACAGTTCTCTGCGGATGATACGAATATTCTTCGCAATAAAGTAACCGTAAATAATTCAATATCAGATATTTCAAATTGGTTTTGTAATAACATATTAATAGTAAATGAAAAGAAAACTGTTTCAATTCAGTTCTCCATTTCAAATAAACAGCTCGACACCACTGAAAATGAACGGCGTGCCATTGACTGATATTAAGGTTACAATATTTTTAGGTCTTTCAATTCAGTCAAATCTTAAATTAAACGTCCATTTAAATTGAACATTAAATTAAGTTCTTTGTGCTATATTTTCATAATTCTTTCAAATTCAGTCAGCCTCTACACTGCTCGTTGTGTATATTTCGCGAATGTTTATTCCCGCAAGAGATATGGCATAATATTGTAGGGAAATACATCTTATAGCTCCCAGATTTTTATATTACCAAAACGATTTGTACGAATAATAAGCAAATCCCACCCACGTGATTATTGTAAGCCTTTGTTTATAAATCTAGGTATTTTACTATTACCTTGTCTCTTAATACATGAATCAGTGGTTTTAGTGAAAAAAGGACTAAGGGCGGGAATATATTTCAGTAAACGCCGTTGTCTATAACTACAACACTCGACGCAGTAATCATCAAGAAACAGTATCAACAGCTCACTACAAAAAGTTCACATATAATACAAGTACATCATTTTACAACACCTTCCAAAATGACATTAAACGATTAAATTCGAAGTTACATTTAAGTCCCAAGTAAAATCTTTTCTGCAGCACAATTGTTTCTATACAATTAGAGACTATACTGAGCATCGAAAGGAAAGTAATATTAATGTTTAAAATGGCATTTAATGATTATATCATTTGGATTGTATAATTGTAAAGAACCTGTAATAAGCATTGTACTTCAGCTTCTTGGTCAATGACCCCCATCTCGATCAGGTTTTCGTCTAGTTTCCCTGATCCTCTAGCAAATGCTGAGATGGCGCATTGTTTTGCTTCTGGACATAAATGTTACTTCAAATTAACTTCTCCCCATAGCACGTCATACACAGTTTTTAACTGTTTTTGACATAAATAAAAAAGTTTTCGCTCCGTGAAATCTCATAAGTTACGCAATTTGAAACGCCACTAATTCCCGTTTGGGTGAACGTCTGGGAACGCGGGTTACCAATTGCGCCGAGCACTTCGCCGATGGAATCAAAGGGATCGACTGACTGCGACATTACGAGAAAAAAAGACAACTAAACGGAGGATTACACCAATGGATATACGCTCAATATTGCTGTATATTGCTTTGGTTGTATAATGTTGTAAACTGTAATTTAGAAAATCAGTGACTAATAATGTATAGGAGGACTTTGCCTCACTAGGGATGATTAGGCTAGGAATAATAATAATAATAATAATAATAATAATAATAATAATAATAATAATATACGCTCAATGCCCCAAAATGGGTGGAGGGAAATGTTTCCAAAACGACGGAACGAAAAAAAAAAAAAGCTTCGAGTGACGAGGCCGATTAGGATAGGTACCGAAATATATATTGATATTTTTGTGGAACTCGTTGCGTTAATTTGGATAAATCTGTGCTGTGAATCTATAATTCTGCCTTTCTATTGTTGCGTTACTTCAATTTCATTTTGTTTTAACTCTCAATTTTTTGAATACTTACTTAATTTGCGTGAAATAAGGCAATGTCTTCAGTTTTGTCAAAATAGTGTACATTAGATGATTATAAGTAAGCATAATATGAATACGTGGAACTGTATAAATATTTTATTTAGTCACTTAAATTAAATCAATATATTTGACACTACACAATGTTTCTCCGGTTATTGTGCGTGTTAAAATCAATTTGTATATATGATTTTGTTTGTGATGTTTCTTCCCCTTAATGCAGTCACTCTTCGTCGCATTGAGATCGTTTATATGTTTTACAAAATTTTAATACACTTTTTTAAAACCAGTCTCAAAACACTTACATTGGTAGCCTAACAGGAGCAATAAAAACGTTACTTTTATAAAAGATTCAATGTCAAGAATAGAAATGCTTACATTTAAATTTAATGAATTTCTTCATGAAATAAATATTATCCATGGGGTTAACATAATCACAACCAATTATGATAAAAATAGGTGAAACATATTTTAAACAGACAGAATTATTGGGATAAATTCTTTAAGCAAAGAAATTTTACATATAAGGCTACATGACTACAACTCCAAAATTTATTTTTAGACAAGCTCTTAAAAACTTTACAAACACAAGGTACACCTTAATAGAACGACAATATAGGTAGTTAGAAATACAACTCTTTTGATGTAATTGTTTTAATTCAAATGAATTTCAGCCAGTAGGCTGCAAAAACTCTGATAGGCTGCCTTAACGATTTTTTGCCTTTTATGAGGAATCTGAAGTCAGTCCAGTCTGTGGGATTCTGAACACTAAAAAACACGCAGTTTCGCTTTCTGTACAATTTGACCAATGGACCTTCTGATTATGACATCCCTATATCACGCATCAAATGTAGTTTCGAATTGATAGTTTGCCATTACGTTTATATGGTCGCATATCTCGCTCTGCCTGATCACTCGTAGTAGCTTTCCGTGTCGAGTTCCAATTCCTGATATAATGGGCCATTATTTCTACCTTATCTAAGAGCTAAACATGACCCAGAGACTAATTAATCTATGCCTTTGAGTTGAACAAATGTGAAATGGCAAAGCATTTTCCCCCACGCGTGGAGTAACAAGAAAGATTTCTATTTACATATTACATTCCGAAGAAGATTATAAAAGTATTTTTTATTTTCTTCATATAACCTAATTACCTTAATATAAACTTGAAAGGATGATTTATAAGAAATTAAATGATTGTCTCTGGTGTAGGGATATAATGAGAAAGCTGGATTGGAAAGCAATTTCAATTGCATAATTCCGGAGAAAGTCTGAAAACATATAACATTTATAAAAAAAATTGTAAATGTTTAATGGTTTCAAAATATTGGTATTAAAATACAATCTATTTGACACCATTCGAAATTTTAAGTAAAGAATTATAAAATATTTTTTTAATTATACAAAAAAATAAAATACTATGGTTTGATGCGAAGCAGTATTATTTTTAAATGAATTTATTTCATTTCCCTATTCATGAACTCTTAGAAAATGCTGGTTCATTGACATGTGTGTACATATTTGTATCAATTGCAAGGAAATTCGAAAGCTCGCTGTTTTTTATGGAGAAATCCAGATATGAACAGCCTTTGTCAAAGGAACACGTCGTTGGAACTCATCGCCAAAGAATATTATTTTTCCACCCAACAGAACCTTACGCTTTTGGGTTGGAAACACGTTTTCATGTTTATCTTATAATATAATATTATGCAACCGTGACAAATAATTTGAGATAGTATGTGATGTTTTTATCTTGTATTATGTGATGTTTGAAAATTTCACCGGGCAGACAACACTGAATTGCCTTGTGCAATTTTTATCGCGGAGAATACTGTAGAATTATTACTTTAGAGTAAAAGTTATTAAGTACTAAATATTTAAAACTATATAAGTATTATTGAAGAATTTATAAAAGTACAGAATTATTATGTAGTTTATGCAATTAGTTTATAATATTAAGCTTTATTGTACGTGTTGAAAACGAGCGTTAGAACGCGTTTTCAAATTCGTACGACTGCAATAAAGCAACAGTATATACGGGTTGGATACGCTATATTTTGTATAACAGTATTATCAATTTATAAGAGAATCAAACTTAATTTTAGGAAACAACGTTTGTGTGACGTCCAGGGCATTTGACAACTGTGCGAGAAAACGGTGGTCGGCTGTTCGATTTACCTTTACTTCTCCACGATTCTCTCGCTGCGATCGGCCAAACGTGAGATGATACAATCATTCGTACCGTAAAATGCTGATACGTCATCATTTATGCCATAAAATTCCCCATTAGAAGGAATTTTTGAAACAGAAAAATATCGTTTATAATGCTGGTATACAAAAAAGTATTTATCTAAGTATTAAAAGTTCTAATGTTATTAGTAATAAAATATTTTTTGTAAGAAAATAAAGCTCCATCAGCTCGAGAAACAAGATTCTTAAGCATATTTATTTGTCTTTTCATTGTTTGTATTTGTTTATTTATTCCTTTGTCAGCTTGTTTAATACATTAATTCATCCACTTTGTTTATATATTGAAACCGCAATATTTAGGGCTTATTAATTTCAAACACAGTGCTTGTTTGGTATACGTTTCTTGGCAGAACATTACCGCTTTCCTCGGTGTTTTTCTTTATTATCAAAATCAGTCACGTCTTTTTGGATTTTTCTGTTCGATTTTAGAATTTATTTTTATTTCGAAATCTATTTTTATCTCATTTTAGATAACTTGCATTTCTTTAATTTTTTCAGTTTCGTGAAATTAAGTACTGGTCAGTTTTAGGTTTAGATTACTACTTGTTTTACGTGTGACGTTAGAGGGAGAAAAATTATATTTAGTGTCTAAAAGCAAAAAAAAAAAAAAAAAAAAAAAACAAACGGGGCGGTGCAGCAACGATCAGTTCTGTGGCGCTGTTTTGATTCAGCTGCTGAGATGAAGCCAAGCACTGAAGAGACGGCGGAGACGCCCAACTCCAGGAAATAAATAGTTGAAAAAAACGTCGGAAGATTTAGAATGTACTCCGCTTCTGAACGGCAGGTTTTTCCCCCTTCAGGTTTTTTTTTCCTAGGCCGTACCTTATGGTCTCTTTTCCGCGCTTTGATGCGCATGGAGACCATTTGGTGTGAATACCAGATTCGAAAGATTAGAACGCGAAAGGATGTAGGTATTATAATGGCTTAAAG